ACACACACATTCACAGCTGTCACCATTCAAGTATTTAAAGTGAGTAAAAATCTGGGCACTATGGTGTATCATTGCAACCCTAGCACTTTGGAGGCTGAGGCAGAAGGACCCTGATTTCAAGGCTACCTAGAATAATGAAGATCCATCGTTTTGGTAACAGGAAAATTAAGTCTGTAAAAAGTGTAAATAGAAGTTCCCTGTGTGTAACTATAAATATGTATTTATATACACAAACTTTAAACTGTGAACAGTGAATGATAGCAGTAGTTACCTTTGCCTTAATTTTTTATCATATCTGACTCATGAAGGCACATATTTCTTATTAGAAAAATATTTTCTTTATTTTTCTTCTTTTTTTTAAAATGTGCATTGGTGCTTTTGCCATGGTCGTCAGGTCCGCTGGAACTGGAGTTACAGATAGTTGCGAGCTGCCATGTGGGTGCTCGGAACTGAACCCAGGTCCTCTGGAAGAGCAATCAGTGGTCTTAACTGCTGAGCCATCTCTCCAACCCCAGAAAAAATATTTTCTTAAAGGAACTAATTTGTGTGTATGTGTACACACGCCACTGCACATGTAGAGGTTCAAAGAATCTAAGGAGTCTTGTTTGTTACCTTCTACACTGTGCAATCAAGGTCTTGCCACATACTCCAAGCCTCACTGTTGTCTTGTGGTGTTTCCATCTCTGTGAGAGTGCTGGAGTTACAGTTGTGTGTGTGTGTGTGTGCCTTCTGTACCTGAATTCTAAGAGCTTAGACTCAGACTCCCAGGCATTTAAAGCCACTGCATTCATCTGCTGAGCTATCTCCCTGCCCCAACAAAATTAAATTAAGCATTATTGAAATAAATATTGATAGAATTTTTAAAAGAAAAAAGGCGAGGAAGGGACTATGTGGGCATAGCAAGGACCTTTTGATGGAAAGGTTTCTTATGGGATTCTGAACTGGGAAAGCTACAGGCAAGAGCAGCTTGATTTCAGAGAGGGAGAAATTTAGAACAAGCCAGTTTATGGTTATCGAAGGCTCTGGAAGCCCTCCTCTAGTCAGGACCTCTCCCTTCCGTGGGTGGGTATAGAGGTGCTCTGTCCTAACCCTTCCTCTACTGGGCAGTGCACTCTGAATGTGCAAGCATTTTGTTGGCTTTTAAGAAGAGCTAGGAAGTTAACTTCGATAAAAAGTCTCATTTTTTTTTTGTATTTTGAAATTGAAAGTATATTCAAACCGTGGTCTGAAATACTGGTGAGTTCAGTGTTTTTCTGCATTAATTATGGGAAATCACCGACAGTACACTCGGAAGCACATTTCGATGGTAGAGCTGGCAGTATCCAATTCATCTAATGATCGCTGTTCTGTCTGTATGAGGCTTGGGTATTAACAGTAAGTCTTTGTCTCGAGATTTCTTACACTTGTACTTGTGTGCCATTGGGGGGGCGGGGCATTTACGTGCCAGAGCGGTTCATTGCTGACTTAATAAAATCATGTTTAGGCAATCCATGTACTTGTCACTTGCTGCGTATTGTGGACGCTTCCTAACCTTAGGACCTTTGCATGTTCTTCCCATAGCCTGTGGTATCTTTAGGCTCTGCTCCCTGGGTTCACATCTTTCCTCAAACATCAGAGTTTCCAAGAACCTCACCTAAGCACACTCTTAATCTTCCAGCGGTGCTCACACTTCCCACTTCCCACTTCCCATTATCTCATTATTTAGTTCATCAGCTCCAACACACTCAGCTCAAGGGGCCATCGTTTCTGCAGCTCTTCTCTTTCACTGGAGCATGGTGCGGGAAGAAAGTGCTGGAGCTTAGGCACTGTGGCACTAGCTGGGTTAGCAGATGAGTGATGTATTAGTTAGCCTGGTTGCCCATGATAGCATAACTGCCAAAAGCAAGCCAAGGAAGGGTGTGTTTTATTCCCAGTGCCAGATTAAACCCTTCACAGTGGAGAAACCGCGGGGGCAGAAGCTCGAGGCTCGGCTGGTCATCCCAAGTCGGAAAGCACAGAGAGACGAGGGCTGGAGCTCAGCTCACTCAGTCCTTGTTCAGTCTGGACCTCCAGGCCATGCAATGGTGCAGCCCTCAATCAAACCAATCTATTAATAATAGAAGCCCCCAATCGGACATGCCCAGGGGCTTGACTCCTACTTGAATTTAGATCCTGTCAAGCTGACCACTGAGGTAGCCATCATATTGATGAATGGCATCAGAAGAGACCACGACAATGAAATAATGTGATACGCAGGGAGAAGAGTAGCCAGGGGAGAGGAGTAGCCAGGGAAGAGGAGTAGCCAGGGGAGAGGAGTAGCCAGGGGAGAGGAGTGGCCAGGAGAGAGGAGTAGCCAGGGAAGAAGAGTAGCCAGGGGAGAGGAGTAGCCAGGGAAGAGGAGTAGCCAGGGAGAGGAGTAGCCAGGGAAGAAGAGTAGCCAGGGGAGAGGAGTAGCCAGGGGAGAGGAGTAGCCAGGGGAGAAGAGTAGCCAGGGGAGAAATGAGAGAGTATGCAGAAAGAGGCATGCAACACCATGGGAGTCCTCAGGGGTTTTCACCAGTCTGCCACAGCCCTGACCTCCAAGAGAATGTATCATTTGTCTCTTTCAATAAAGAAGAATAGACCATGATTATTGTAGAAGGGTCCTGTCTTGTGACAACTGGGCTAGTATCCTTTGGAGTCCCAAGCCTCATTATATAGCTCCTTTCTTTTCTAAAGTAATAATTGCTGTTGTCTCTGGAAATGCATCAACACGGAGCTATTGCTATGCCCTGCACACCTTCTTTTGTGTAAGTTGAGGGTTGGACACAGAGCTATGTTGGGAGTGATGAAGCCTAGATAAGAGATAGGTAAGCCAGTTGTGTCAAAGTCCCCAGTATCTGCAGCGTCTCTGTACTTAGTGTACGTATTTAGCTCTTTCTCCTTTCCTGTGGTGCCGTGTCCACTCGAGTGGGCTCAGAGTCATTAAGGCATTATGAAGTGGTTAGATGGGGCAGGGGTCAGCTCTCATGGTGTCAAGCTGTAGAGTCTAGAAACGAGCTTGGCCCAATCGCAGGCTCCTCTGACCTGTAAAAAGCATTGTTGATCTTCCTATTGCCTGTCTCATAAGATATGGGAGAAGTGAGGTAATGTCTCCTCAGACCTTTGAGCTTCTCGGAAGAGCAGCATTTACAGGAATGTGATATCTTAATATACTTGCTCATGTTGTAATGGGCTGGAATTCTATTTCCCTAAATTTATTTAGGTGCTTCTAGAATATTTGTTGTCTTGACCTTGAGGTCTAAACTTGCACCAAACCCCTCAGAGAATGTTCAGTTCTGAGATTAAGCTGTGCATTTACAAGGTTAGAAGCTGGAAAAGGGGGGTGGGTCATGAGAGCTAGACTAGGTAGTAATGGGAAAAGGAGCTTGAAATCATCTTTAGAGTTTGTTTGACACCCTAAATATGTTGTTTGCTTAAAAAATATAAATATCAAAGAAATTGAAACTATGAGTCTGTTTTAATTTAGCAATATCACTGACATGGGCATGACTTATGGAAAATCTCTCTGCCACTTTTCTCCGTGATGGACTCTACCCAACCTCCTTCAAGATTTTCTTCATCTTTTATTGATTCATAAAATTGTCTGTGTACAGATGGGATGGAGGTAGAAGAGAAACTGTCTGGGGGGACAAAGGGGACTAGTGGGAAGGGGAAGGACATGAAAGAGTAGGGGAGGAGAGTAGATGGGGGATAAATATACTCAGAATGTATTCACAGTTCCCTGAACATTGTCTCAGGTAAAATAGTAAAATAATTCAAAAACATTTACTCCATCTTGGTGTTTGGGCCAAAGCTTTATTGTTTAGTAATTTTTAATAATTTATTTCTGACTCTGATATCACCAGTTCCACACAAATGATAAGAAAACTGTCCAGTTCATTGGCAAGATCCCTGCTAGGTTATTAGGTGTGCTTTGATATTTTGTTTTTGTCTGCACATGAAGGAACCCTACGTGTTTGCTGTTGAGCAGTCCTGAGCATCCCTGCCGTTTGGGGCAAATCCACACTCTGTGGCTGCCTAGTGGGTCTTAAACAGGGAGATGGAAATTCGTGCTGAAAAGCGATGGATGTAAACTCAGGGGCCGTTGCCACCACACTGTGAAGATACTGATGGCTAGCCAGCGTGGTGGAGCTGGCTGTAATCCCAGCACCTGGAGAGGGGATGCAGGAAGATCAGAGGTTCTCCTCCATCAGCAGCAGAGTGAGGCTGAGGCCAGCCTGGGAAAAGAAAGAAAAGATATAAATTGATATTTTTTTGTGCCAGGCAATTTGTTACGGTGTTTTCTAGAAGCACTAAGGGGCTTGATATTTCAAAGGGATGTCAGCTTTCTATACAAGAGTTTAAATAGCTATTGATTAAACTCCGAAAACAAACAAACAAACAAATGACAGAAAAGTATGTGTTCTTTCTAGAGAGGTGAATATATACACTTTGAAAGAAGCAATAGAATTTGGAGTGTTAGACCAATGATGGAAATATATATCAAGCCTTTCCAAATATCTGTTTGACTACTTGGCGTGGGAGAGATATGAGAAAAAGTTACATTTTTTTTCTTAAACTAAGAAACATGTCTTTTATGGGGAGACAATCAAAGCACCCGGGGCCCCCAGCCTTCACAGCAAATGGCCTCTTACTGAGAAAGTAGTGCTCAGAGATAGAGTTCAAAGGAAGTTAATCTGTAGACAGTCATGTTTTGGTGTATGTGCGTATTGCATATGTGTGTATGAACCTATATGTGCAGATGCGTCTCCCAGAATGGTTGGAGATCCCATAGGTAGCCTTAATAAAGGTAAATTATTTTTTTCTTTAACATGTTAACATAATACATAGTTTTTATATAATTTTGTGATAAATTTATTATTTTCTGCCATTGTTTTTGAGTATAGACAACCATACTTTTTCCAAAAAACACTGAAGATTTTCCACTTTATATTGGTTGGAAGCAAGTAAAATTGTGATTTTTTTTTTATTGGTTGCAGGATCGAAGTAAACAGTTGGAGAAAGTCCATGCCGTTATTGGACCTAAGTCATGTGACTTGGATTCTCTCATTTCTGCCTTCACATATGCATACTTTCTGGACAAGGTGAGGAGAAAAGGATTATTATATCCTTTGTACCTGAATTATGTGTCTTTTAAGAATAAATATGGGAAAAAGAGTCACTAACTTAGTTTTTCATGTTCATGTATAGTATAGATAATAAATATTAAAAATCCAGCAAGCAGCAGGCATTTATTGAGCATCTTCTGTATGTTAAACATTATTCTGCTTGTGTCTTACTGGTTTCTTCTCAAAAGCATTTCAAACAGCATAGTAGCTGGGTGCTTTTATGAGAATTTAGAGAAACGATAAAAAGCAGGATTCGGGGCCTCTTTCTTTCCTTTATCATGCACTATGTAACTGTGCCTTTGGGAATAAAAAAAAAACATTCGGAACAACACATATGGGCAGTACATGAAGCCAGAGACCAGAAACAGGGTATGACATGCTCAGTCTAGGTTCTGGAACTCTTAGTTGTTGCCGGCTAGCCCTGATGAAGATGTCCCTTGAGGGAGAATCTCTTGGCTCTGTGAAACAGACTCAGCCACTTCCCATCTCTAAACTCTGTCAGCCCATCATAATGGGATTTATTGCCTGAAACCCCTCAGATAAATGTTCTGAATGTTTGGGTACTATTTCCAGAAGGTTCATGGAATTTTTAATTTTCCAGAGTCTGGTTTATTTTATTTCAATTTTGTTTGGATCTGGATCCCCTGACACCATGCATGGCTGATCTGGAGCGATTTAAATTCACGTAAAACCTAGTCTTCCAGAATGAGCTGTGGGTGGCCGGCACCGCTTTAGGGCAGCTGGGGAAAATGATGGGTAACGTAGTCTCATCTCTACATGTGGGCTCTGCATCAAATGTGTCTTACAAGTTGTTGAAGTCTGCAAGGAAGAGCAATTGGCCTGAGAAGATGAATGTGTCTCAGTGGAGATGTGTGTATAAAACAACCCTTGCTCGCCACTGCTCATCCAGTTGACGGAGCTGGACTGACTCTAAGACCACCAGTGATGTGCAGTTTCGAGAGGGTGTATAATAATAACATCACCAGCTAGAGTTGTAGTGTCGTGCATGAGGATGCATCGTGCAAAAAGGAAGTAGGGAAATTGTGAGTGATAAAAGACAGATGGTCAATCGGTAGATAAAGGAAAAGAGACTGATAGACCCTCTCTTCCTTTGGAGACTTTTAACTAAGCCTAGAAAAAAATGTGGCTTTACTAAAGTCACATTCTGGGGACCTTGTTGTTTGCATGTGTCTTGGTTGTGTTTTTGTTTGTTTGTTTGTTGTTTGGTTGGTTTTTGTCAACTTGATATAAGCTACAGTTATCTGGGGAGAGGAGCGTCCACTGAGAAAATGCCTCTCTTCAGATTGCCTGTCAGCAAGTCTACAGGGGATTTTCTTGTTTAATGATAGATGTGGGAAGGCTGGGCCCATAGGGCAGAGCAGTGTGGCCTCTGAGCAGGTTGTCCTGTGCCGTATAAGAAAGCAGGTTGAGGATGCCAGTAAGTAGCACTCCTCCAGGGCTTCTGCATCAGCTCCTGCCCTGAATCCTGGATGATGAACTACAATCTGTAAGATGAAATAAACCCTTTCCTCCCCAAGTTGCTTTCAGCTATTCTGTTTTATCACAGCAATAGAAAACCTAACTAAGATACTGTGCTGTTGTTTTAGCGTGGTAGGTCTTGCCTGCTGTCTGTAGGCTGTGTCTCTATGGAGTTTTCCTGAGAACCTTACTCAGTCTCTCAGGGCTCTGTGGCTTCGCAGGCTCTGGTGAGCAGAACATAAGCCAATACCGTGCGACAGAAACAGAAAGTGAAGGCTCAGAAAGGAGAGTGGCTTTCTCCAATTCATCAAGCAGGGGCTGTGGCTGGCATCTAGTTGCTGGTCCCACCTCCAGAATAAGTCCTGCGTGGACATCTTGGGACACATACTCTGGCTCGTGTATTCTCCTCGACTGCGTTGGCGGGAGTTAGATACGACTGTCAGTTAGGAAGAGTAACGTGCTCTACACAAGTCACTGGTGATGGTTATGCAAGTGGCATTCAGTATTAGCATTACAGAGCAAGGAAAATCCATTCAGTGGAGAAGATTTTGTGTTTTGTGTACAACAGCAGCGTCTGGTTCACTTATTTAATTCAGGAAATGTTTGTTAAATGTCTACTGCTGCCTGATGGTTTTATGTTTTGGAATACACAGCAGAACAAAACAACCCTGCCTCTTTAATGTTAGGAAGGGGAGACAGACACTGGGGTGTTGAGCTGTGTAATAAGCACATGCTTGTGACAGAGCCATGGGGACTCGAGAATAAAGGCCATTAATTATTCAGAAATGAAGCATCATCAACCCTTAAAGAAATTTTTTTTAAATGCTTTACTTTAAAATTCATATAGATGAATAAATTTATTGTGAATCTGAAATTTTCTTTCTTCTCCTCTTTATTTGGTCACCACAAATATTTTATGTAAGAGTTTTATGAACATAAGTCTTTGTATATAACAATATATAATATATAAAATAATACAATGTATAAGTTCAGTAGAGATTATAACCTATTAGTATGTGTGCTAAACCTGACTCCCAAGTGAATAACTAGTGACCTACATGGTGTTTTGCATTTTAAAACTGTCACAGTCAGGACTGGAGAGATGACTCAGCAGTTAAGAGCACTGGCTGCTCATCCGAAGACCCGGATTCAATTTCCAGCACCCACATGGCCCCTCACAACTATTTTAACTCCAGTTCTAGGGAATCTAGTGTCCTCACATAGACATAAATGCAGGCAAAACACTAATGTATGTAAAATAAAAATAAATAAATTTTTAAAATGTCACAATTGGATGTCACAAACCATACTTCAGCACAGTTTTCCTGATGACCCCGAGGAAGCAGAAGATTTAACTATAGCAGACTCGAACAGTTGATTAAACCCAGGTTGCAAGTATCCTATTTCGATAGGGACAGATCTACCTTCTTGTGTCTCCTGAGTCTGTCCCCAATTAATTAATTAATTAATTTGTCAATTCATCCTGGCTGTGCTGGTGAAATGATTCAACATGTAAACGTCCTTGCTGCCAGATCTGATCACCTGTCTGCTTTCCCAGGACCTACGTGGTGGGAGGGGAGAACCGGCACGTGCGAGTTACCCTCTGACCTCCACATGCGTGCTGTGGCGTGCACTCGCACGCACACACAGAGAAGTAAATAGCGTGATGTTAATTTAGAAATATAACACCAGGGCCTACTTACTAGTGGAAAGTGCTCTGTGATTGGGCTCAGGGAGATTCGTTTTGAATGTCACATGGCTTAGTTATGGCCCAAAGACTTCGGCTCCCTTTCGCCGTTTGCTTCGCGCTGGAGGAGAAATGGCTGTTTCCGGTGATTGAATTAGCTTCTCCTTCGGTAGGTCAGTCCACCCGGGGTCCTCTGCTTGCCAGTGCTGAACATCCCGAGGACCGAATTCAGCTACTTCACAGAGACGAGGTTCATTTTAGAAGAGCTGAACATCTCTGAATCATTCCACATATTCCGAGACGAAATTAACCTGCATGAGCTGAACGATGAAGGAAAGCTGTCAATAACGCTCGTGGGCAGCAACGCCCTCGGGAGGTAAGACTCACTGGGAAGCTCTGCACATTTGTCCCGAGTGCAGGTTTCCTCTCAGCTGTCACCATTATTAATGTCTCCTTATTATTGTTTAAGAGAGAGAGAGAGAGAGAGAGAGAGAGAGAGAGAGAGAGAGAGAGAGAGAAAGGAAGGGACTTCATAGGAAAAAGAGTGATTTTTTTCTTTAATAACAAAATTTGGTTTATGTCAGTTCTTCATTTTTACTTTGAGATTGCAAACATGTTTAAGTAGAATGCTCTTGTAAAATTTACCAAAATAATATTTTTTTCAGTGTCCCAATAATCCCATGTATTGACATTAAAAATAAGTAACAAAAATTGAAACCAGATAAAGCAGAAAGGTTCTACATGAATCTCATAGAGAAAGGGGGGAGGCTGGGAAATGGGCCACGTGGTTGCTGGTTTTCCATTTTTGTGGTCAAAGAAGGACAGGTTGTTGACAACTCATGCCGTTCAGTAACCTCATGCCACAGACCGGAAATGCAGAGCCCGGTGTCATCAATGGCTTTGCCCCAGGCGCCATGTACACTCAGTGGGGAGCTCAGATGAGAACTTGGTTTCTCTGTCTGCTTTCAGCATGGAAGAACTGCTAGCTGGGGCAAGCATCTGAGATACAGGGAGAGGAATAAAACAGAGTCCCTCCCTACAGGTGGCTGCAGAGGTGTCTCTGTGAGCCACTCTATTGAATGAAGGACATCAGCTAACCCTACAGTTTGAGGTGCTCCTTCTTTACACTTTGACCGTTTGCCTATTTTTCATGACCATCACTAACTAACCTTGACCTTAGAATACTTGAAATAAGACCTTCATATTTAATAATTTTTAAATGTAACCAGTTTTTAGGACACACACTTGCATACAAATTAAAGTGTACCGAGGCAGCATCAGTTATACAAATGGTTATAAAGTGTTTCGAAAACAGTCTGTGGTCTACTTTCATCCCTATGCTGTTTGAGGCAAATGAAATTCTTCTGAATAATATTTGTCAAGCATCTGTTGAGAAGAGGCTGGGAGTTTTGGGTGAGCGTTTGGACTGCCTTGAGCTGTCAGTTGCATTTTCCAGCTTCCCATCACGATGATGTACCTGACACAGTGACCTAGACAGTCAGAAGAGGTTTATCTTTCTCATGGCCCTGGAGAGTCAACTCTCAGCTCAGGTCACCAGAGGGGGCTGTGGTGAGGACCTAACATCAGCAGCAAGAAGAACGAAACAGCCACACCTTGAATCAGGGCAGAAACTAAAAACCAGATTTACCCAACACCCTGTGAGAACTTGTCCCCAGTGATCTAAGGATTGAGCCAGGCCTCGCCTCTGAAAGCCCTCAGCGTCATCCAGTGTTTCCACCAGGGACACCATCCTTCCTGCACATGTGAACCTTGCAGGAAACTCAGTCCCCAAACCACAGACAGCCTGGGTGCTCCTGGTTATCACACACTGGGCTAAAGTCACAGCCAACTTTTTCAAGGCAACACATGCACCAGGCACGAGCAAAGAGAACACAACAACACAGATTGGGGGAGAGCTTTGTCATCCCTTAACATGGAAAACGTTAGGCTTGCCTTCGACTGAGGTTATAAGCTCTGGGCTTGCGGTTGTTTATGAAATGGAATATTCCACAAAGTAAAAAGCTAACTTTCTTCACTGTTGCTCGTTTGTTTTTGAAAAGTCAAAAAAAAAAAAAAAAAAACCAAAAACCCTGTAGTTTTATCTGTTATCCGTCTGCTTTGAGAAAACCCACCTCTATCACATGTATGAAGTAGGTGAGGGGTGGGGGATGGGCCAGTGACAGAACACTTGCCTACCATGCAAAGGCCCTGAGGTTGACCTTCAGCACTCCAAAAATTAAAAAGTACAAATTTTAATTAATTAGCTAATTAAAAGTCTGAGTTTTTAAAAGTCATGGTGACGCCATCACAGGCATAGTGGTGTTTTGTGTTTTTTTCCTTCGGAGCTTCGGTGACTGTTCTGAGCAGGTACTAGTAAGTTAAAAGCCACCTGCTCCACACTCTGGTTACCTGACCATGAACACCTTCCTTAGCCCCACTGTGCCTCAGTTTCCCCATTTATAAAAGGAAGATCTTACTAGAACCCATCTCATAGGGTCTGAACACAGCTACAGAGTTTCTGAATCATAGCTTCTGTGAACATATGAAATACTCTAGGAATCCTGGGGGCAGGGATGAAGGGAAATGGCACGTGAGGAGACACAGAATAAGGTCCTGTTTACCCCTCTGCTGCAGGCGAATGCGCGCGCTCACGCATGTGTGTGTATGTGTGTGTGTGAGAGAGAGAGAGACAGAGTTTGTATGAGAGTGTGTGTGATTGTGAATCTGTGTGTATCTGTGTGTGTGAGTGATTGTATGTGTATGTATAAATGTGTCTGAGTGTGTGTCAGTGATTGTGTGTGTACATGAGTGTGTCGTATGTCTGTGTGTGTGAGAGTGTGTGTATGATTGTGTGTGTGTGTATATGCATGAGTGTATGTACGTGTATGAGTATGTATTGTGTGAGTGTGTATGACTATGTGTGTATGGGATTATGAGTGTGTGTGAGTGTGTGCACCAGCACCTATGCAAAAGACCACAAATTCATACAGGCCAGAGATCCATGTCAGAAGTCTTCCTCCCTACCTCATCTTCTGAGGGAAGGCCAGTCACTGAAACGGGTGCTCTCTGATTGGCTAGACCACCTGACCAGAAAGCCTCAGCTGCTCCCTGTTCACCCACCCACTTGTGGTGCTGGTGTGACCACAGCAAGGAGTTATGGTCAGACATTTACATGGGTTCTGGAGCTCTGAACTCAGGTCCTTACGCTTGCTCTGCAGGTGTCTTAGCCAACTCTCCAGGTCCTATTCTTCACAGTCATGAGAATTTATGTTTTGGGCCATTTAGGGGACATTATTATTCATGTACTGAATTATCCCCTACGTGAGAAAACATGCCTTATCTCTTTCCTTTCCTCTCCGTTTAATTTACAGCGAGGACAGAAGTTTGGAAGCCGCAGTTGTCAGAGTCATTAACCCCGGTGAGCAGAGCGATGGTGAGCTGGAGTTCCCGGAGTCTTCCTCCTCGCTGGTGCTGAAGGAGCTCCTGCACGAGGCCCCCGAGCTCATCACCCAGCAGCTGGCGCATCTCCTCAGAGGTGAGGCTGGCGCTGCCAGAGTCAAGACGGGAGGCTTAATGGGCTGGTTCTGGGCCTGTTCATGCAGAAATAGTGCGATCCATTCTTGGGTTAACAATCCCTTTAAAGACCCCGGGAAGCTCCATCAGAGAGGCAGGGAGTAAAGAGTTTGTTAAAGAGTAGCATTATATGGAATATTAAAAATGTGCAGTTAGAAACAGGCACAAGGGTCTGTGCTGTTTCACTAGACGAGAATGTTAATGGGGCTGCTGCGTCCTGGTTGGAGAGAGAGCCCCTCCTCTGGCTATTATAGCTTCCAAAGGAGCTTCCTGCCTAGGACAGTGTGAGTGTGGATCAGAATTCCCTGTTCCTGTGGCCTTGGAGTATCCCCAATACTTATGCGTGCTTGCCACACAGAATCCTGCCTGCAAGGCAAAACATCCAACTTTTGTTTCGATGACATGATACATGGTCCTCCAGCTCATCTTTCACAGGCTGTGTTCCGTCTGTTTTTAACATGGGACACTGCTGCGTGGTACTGTCCCAGTGAACCCTCTGTATCCATGGTCTCCATCTCATGAACTCAACCAACCCGAAAAGCAAATCACTTTAAACTGTTTGTATCAACCATAGTAAAAGCACCTCTCATTGTTATTCGACAAAAAAAAAAAATCACCATAGCAATTGACATTTCCCCTTGGTATTCCTAGGCAGGAAGCTCCTTTGGTATATGAAATACATCTGAGGCTTTGACATGATGCAGACAAACACTACATCGTCCACACGAGTCTAGAGGGACCCACAGACTTTGTGTCCATGTGAATCCTACAGACACTGGGGAACTGCCATACGCTACCCTTCTCCATTGCTGGAGCACACTGCTTCCAGTACTGGTCCTCACATTAGAACGTGTCCATCAACCTTGGCTCTTCAAAATGAGCCCAGGCCATTCAGTTACTTTTGCATATGGGACTTGCAAAAATATTTTTGTTTTTGTATAAAGCTTTCTTTTCTTTCTGCAATTCACTTTAGACCTATTAGGCACAAATTATTCTCAATGTGTTTTGTTTTCTACAGCAGTCAGTCAGGAGACAGTCTGACGGAACAGAAAACAGGACAGATGAGGACAGGCTGGCTCAACGCTTCCAAGGACTTTCTTTTTCTGCCTCACTTTATACTATAATTTAGAGGGGGAAAGTCCAGGAGTTACACCCATTCCTCTAAAAGTTCTAAAACTAATGGCCCCTGGAAACTGGTCATAAATATTGTCGTGACAATGGATGTCTGTACCCATGCTGTCCTTGAAATGGTACCTTCAGCTAACCCAAGAAAGTGGTTTTTTTCTTTGTGGTAAGGCAGACAAAATAAAAGCAATCAAGAATCTCAGCTCAGGGAAAGCTGTGTGGCAATTCTATTGTGTTCAGACAAGCACTAGAGAGCATGTTGTTTGCGTATCTTAGAGACTGAGCAATTGTTTTAAAAGTCCAGTACACACATTATTTAGTGGGAAGATGTAGCACAACTCATCTTCATGAGGTTTTACAAGCAGCAAAATAACACGGAACTGTAATACACGATGATGAAACTTGTTTATGCTGCTGCGACTGCTAATGATGACGACGATGATGCTCAGATTTGGAGAACTAGAAGGGACTATTTGTCTCTTCTGGTTGTCCCTTCAGAATGTTTAGTAGAACTTTGTGGCCATGGTACATGTGTGTGCTGCCTGTGTGCATGTATATGGGGATGAGGTGAAACATCTTCATACAGAGGGAGCTAAAGGATGGTGAACCAGTTAACCTGTCCTTGAAGAGATGCTTCAGAGGTTCGGGTTCTGTATTCAGAGTCACATGACTTTCTCATATTTGGGAAAAAGAGATGAATTTTGTAAAGCTCTTGGATCTTTAGTTATATAAGAAAGAAGTTGAGTTAAAGTTTGCTCTGTTCCCTGAAGTCAAACTTAGATTTCTTAGTTCTCCAGTTACATGTAACATCAAGTATAAGGGACTTGTTTTCTGTCTTCCTCTAAGCAGTGTTAGCATCCTTTAATTTGCAATAGAAACGTCAGTCTTTCAAAACAGTCTTCATTAGCAACTGTGAAGTTACTTTCATGTGAACTTGACACTGTAGATGGACATTTCTGTGCCCACCCAGTCCCATAGCCATTCAGTCCTAAAGAAAAACACAGAGGCTTTTATTAATTATAAACTGTTTGGTCTCTTAGCTCAGGCTTATTATTAACTAGCTCTTACAACTGAAATTAACCCATAATTTGGATCTATGTTTAGTCACATGACTTGGTACCTTTTCTCAGTAAGGTATACACACCTTGCTTCCTCTGCTTTTGGTTGGCAACTGCATCTCTGCCTTTCCTCTTCTCAGAATTCTCCTTGTCTGTTTGCCTCACCTATACTTCTTAACTGGCTATTGGCCAATCAGTGCTTTATTAAACCAATATGTGTAACAATATTTACAATGTACAAGAGCATTTCTTACATCATGACACATTTTAGACACGTTTTCTACATGCTCTTCTACATCTTAAAAATACAAAAGAAAATTAAATACAAATTCTTTATGCCATGTTTGGCCATGAGAAGTTATAGCTCTAGCTCTCTTAGATGTCACAAGACTATATACTTATGCCTGAGACTTAGCAGATTATAAATTCTAAATTTATAGTGACTTGAATACAATATGAATTTGTCTTTTGCTTCTCACACTCATGATTACACCCAGATCCTGTCACATCGAGTTGTATCTGTGTAGTGACAAGTGGATTTCAGGTGGGCAAAGAAAATGTCCTTCCACTCTCTGAGAAGACTATGTGCTTCTCAGCCAACTCGGGGGAAGGTAAACAAATTTCAGTCCATATGTTCATGTGTAAAAGATGGGGACAAGTTCCCCGCTACAAGTCATCAGATTCAGAATTCAAGCCCTCAAAGCTTGTGAATAGCATAGCCTTCCTCCGTCCCTTCAAGCACCCATCTTCTCATGAGTTGTGCCCCTGACCCCTGAAGTTTTTTTATTGTTGTTGGTTGGTTTGTTGGTTTGTTTAGATATTCCCAACTCTCCTCTTTCTGGAGGACTCACGCTCAGATGCCCCTGTGCAGTGCTTGTTCCTATCTGTCTAGTACTCTTCTACCTGTCTCTGCAGAATGTCAACTTCATGGGGGATAAAAGGACCTTGTACTCTGTGTCCACTACCCTACCTGCTGCGCTGGTGCCTATACTTCTGGCACATCGTAAAACTCTGTGGGATGAACTTTTCAAAAATGGATTTGGGTGGGTTTGGGAAGTAAGGAGGACCTAGAAGGAGTTAGGGGAGGGTAAGCCATAATCAACATATTTTGAATGAAAAAAATCTATTTTCAATAAAGATTTCGACAATTTTTTAATTGATTTTATTGAACTCTACATTTTTCTCTGTTCCCCTCCCTGTCTCTCCCCTCCCCTTCAACCCTCTCCCATGGTCCCCATGCTCCCAGGAAATCTTTTGACAAAATGTTTAAAATAGTGTTTATACACTCTCTCTTTTCATGACGTCATGGTTGTGGTAGTGTCTGATGCTAAAATGGCCTGCTGTTATGGCCATCCCTATAGTATCCTTACTGCCTAGAATATGGACAGTGTTTCTTCCACTAATACCCCTTTATTATCTTTTTTTAGCTTGAAGAAATCCTAGGGGGATTTATTTAATTATTTGGCAATGACTGACTAGCTTTTGTTTTCATCAGTTGTCATTATATGTATAACTTTTAAGATTATATATATGTATATATATATATAATTTTAATCCTTTTGAAGCATAGTGCATCCAAAGAAAAGAATACAAAACATGCCTATAAAATGTAAATATGTAGCTTAGTAAATTATCAGGAAGGAAATACCCTTTGAGCATTTCCTAGCTAAAGAGGCGGGACGTGAAGACATTGCCTCCTTCTCATGCCTACAGCTCACTCCTATCTGGAGACAGCCAGCATTCTCATTTCATGACATTTATGTCTTAGCTTTTCTTTATATTTTAGCCAGCCCTGTGAATGTACCCCAGATTGCTCCACGTGGGTTTTGTGTGATTGCGTGCTTTACATCAATGGACTCCATGCAGCACACACTAAACACGGTGTATGCTTTCGTAGGCCAGTTATCTATGAATTATTAATTTTGTCATTCAAATCCTTCTTGAACAGAATATTTGAAGTAGCTTTCCAAAAATCATGTAATAATATAAAACAGTAACAGAGTCAGGATGAAGAGAAAGAACAGTGGAGGAGAGAATCAGATCCGGATATCAGACAACACTTGGGGCTGTGGCTACAGTGTTCTCTTCCAAACTTTAGATATGAGCTTTTTGAAGCAAATGAGACAGAAGTGTGACTTCTGGAGAAATTCACATTGTTATAGAGTTGGGTACGGCGTATAGCTATCGATCTCTGTTCTCGAGAGTACCGACCTGACTCTCTTAGTTCCTTTTGTTCTTCAATAGGAACAAACTAATTTTAAAAGTTGTCTTTTCTTTTCCAACAGTCCTCTCAGAAAGGTACTTGACTGCTCTCACGGTGTCCACTCCTCTATATCTGCTGGTGCCTCTCTCAACACAAAAATCCATATTCAGATTCAATCATATGTGATATTCTCAGTCCAAAAACGTACTACTGCAATGGGTTATCAAACTGCTTGCAATATGCTATACTGTTTCATTCAAATATTGACGTAGAACCCGATTGCTGTGGGTGTTGTTCAGTGGTCATTCGCATATCTACCATGCTGTCATTGTAGACGAGAGCTCGTTATGTTTCTCGGTTTTCCTTGCCACGGTAGCCTTTTGGCCCCAAGGACAATTAGGGATATGTGCTAACAAGTAAGACAGTGCAACCCACAGTGTTCCAAGGTCGGTAGAGTATTTAGCCATCTTGAGATAATTTCAGTTTAATTTCTTTTCTTTTAAAATTACAACACCGCAGTAGACACTTTAGTTCCTTCTTCTAATGAGCCTGTCCGTCTAGTCTTCCCCGGTGCCA